GGGGTACACACACTGGTGTTTATATAATATGTGGGTCCACTACTAGTCCAGACACGGGGTACACACACTGGTGTTTATATAATATGTGGGTCCACTACTAGTCCAGACACAGGGTACACACACTGGTGTTTATATAATATGGGGGTCCACAAAACTGACATTATTTCTCTCCATTAGCAGTCACCATAAAATGCATTCACACTCTTTTTTCAATTCTTTAAGACAACTCTAGAGTCAGGTCAACTGTAGTTATTTCACAGATCACACGCAATATGACAATCATAAAACATGTATTTCCTTTAACACACGGCTCTAATGCTGTCAATGACGTTAACAGTTATCAAAAGGCTTTTAAATTGTAATGAACAAAGGTGATGGTTGTCACAGATCTACTTTACAGGAGGATCTTAACATGTGGTTTGAGAGCAAGGTAAATAGACAGTGTACTCCGATCAAACAACAATATCAGCCTGCGATAAACTACCCTCCTTATCACTTATCTACCCCGCATCTAACCAAATAACAGCTGATCCTGAAAAGCAATAAAACAAGTGATGGTTTTGACACATCATTTGTCACACAGATACAATAACACTATCAGACAAGAGCTGTAGGAAAGCATAGCTCGTTGGTTCAAAATATTTTGGTAAAAAGTGCTAATAGTAATTGGGCCATTACAGGATGTCCCATCTTAGATAATAGATCAGGAAACTTAGAACTACACTGTCGATGGCACATTCCCGCTATCCCCCAAAGTAACCCCTAAGTAACACAAAGTAATACCCCCCTTCCCCAATTACCATTTGTAAAAATAAATTACTGTAAAATGTAGAACTCATGGTTATGTTTGATTTGATATGCTGAAAGACTATGTAAAAAAAAATTGACCCTCATGACTCCACCCCTCTGGCCCAGCCCCTGGGGGTCATAGCAAAAATCTGAAAGTGTTGTGCACTCCTCCATAATTACCATGTCTAAAAGTTTCAAGTTCTTCCTCAAACACTGTAGAAAAAGTTCTTTCACCCCTTATCCCTCAAGTACCCCACCCACCCCCCTATTATACAATATACTAAAATAAATTACTCTAAGATATAGAACTCATAATAATGTTTGATTTGATATGATAAAAGACTCTACTTTTGTTTATTTATTATTTGGTCCCCATGACCATAAATAACCTAAAGTGTTGTACAATCTTGAATCCCCTTCCCCTAAAGATCTCTCTGTTAAATTTGGTTGAAATCTGCCAAATAGTCGATAGGAGGAAATATCGTTTAAAGGCATACTGTCAAATTTACCCCTTTTGGCCCCGCCCACCTGTCCCCTGGGGGGTCAGGAAATTCATTTGTACACTCTTGAATCCATTTCCCTTAAGGATGCTTCCTGCCAAATTTGGTTGAAATCTGCCCAGTAGTTTCAAAAGAACTAGAACTTGCCCTAAAACTTTAACCTGTAGAACTTGCCCAAAACTTTTAACCAAGTTTTTGGACCAATTATGAGCAAATATGGTCCAATTTGTTGGTAAGGAACCCCAAAGCAATTGCTGTAATCATATTACAATGTAAAATTAATTAAAAGTTGAGTTAAACACCACAGCTTGCCCAAAATCTTTGGCCAGGTGGGACGCCGACGCCGTAGGTACTACTATAGCCCCCCTATTCTTCAAATAGACAAGCTAAAATGATGAACAAGTGATCTCTTTGTTATTTTTCCATTTTGATTTTTCACAATTCTATGTTAATGTTTTCTTCCCAGCAACATAATTTTGAAAGGTTGGGCTGATTTATGAACATTATATCAGTTAATATTAGATGACACATTTAATCCCTACATTCTAATTGGTTGAATCACATGGCGGGTCGGTGATTTGTAATATTGACTTGGTGTTGATATTTTTAGAAACAACATGTCAATATCCACTAAGTCTTTAGTATACACCATTGTACGTTCACAATGCTCTCTGTCAAATGCACTTCTTTCCTCAGAACAATTTTTATATGTTTCATCTTGTTAAATGAATTAAACATTATTTATCATCTGATATAACAATTACAGACTTCATCTTGGTCAATATCACTTCTTCAGGATCATATAACCACATATTCACCTCAAAAAAAGTTTGATATATCATTTGCCAAAATGTGATACTTTTGAACTGTTTATATACCTACGTTTATGTTTATAATGTGATTATTATGTCTTCATGTCTGTGATATCTACATGTACCTGTGTGTATACCTGTGTTTATACCTGTGTGTATATATCTGTGTGTATACCTGTGTTTATATAACTTTGTTTATACCTTTGTTTACATAGTTTTGTTTATACCTGTGTTTATATATCTGTGTGTATACCTGTGTTTATATAACTTTGATTATACCTGTGTGTATACCTGTGTTTATATACCTGTGTGTATACCTGTGTTTATATACCTGTGTTTATACCTGTGTTTATATACCTGTGTTTATACCTGTGTTTATATAACTGTGTTTATACCTGTGTTTATATAACTTTGTTTATACCTGTGTTTATATAACTTTGTTTATACCTGTGTTTATATAACTTTGTTTATACCTGTGTTTATATAACTTTGTTTATACCTGTGTTTATATAACTTTGTTTATACCTGTGTTTATATAACTTTGTTTATACCTGTGTTTATATAACTTTGTTTATACCTGTGTTTATATAACTTTGTTTATACCTGTGTTTATATAACTTTGTTTATACCTGTGTTTATATAACTTTGTTTATACCTGTGTTTATATAACTGTGTTTATACCTGTGTTTATATAACTTTGTTTATACCTGTGTTTATATAACTTTGTTTATACCTGTGTTTATATAACTTTGTTTATACCTGTGTTTATATAACTTTGTTTATACCTGTGTTTATATAACTTTGTTTATACCTGTGTTTATATAACTTTGTTTATACCTGTGTTTATATAACTTTGTTTATACCTGTGTTTATATAACTTTGTTTATACCTGTGTTTATATAACTTTGTTTATACCTGTGTTTATATAACTTTGTTTATACCTGTGTTTATATAACTTTGTTTATACCTGTGTTTATATAACTTTGTTTATACCTGTGTTTATATATCTATGTTTATACCTGTGTTTATATATCTGTGTTTATACCTGTGTTTATATAACTGTGTTTATACCTGTGTTTATATAACTTTGTTTATACCTGTGTTTATATATCTATGTTTATACCTGTGTTTATATATCTGTGTTTATACCTGTGTTTATATAACTTTGTTTATACCTGTGTTTATATAACTTTGTTTATACCTGTGTTTATATATCTGTGTTTATATAACTTTGTTTATACCTGTGTTTATATATCTGTGTTTATCATACCTGTGTTTATATATCTTTGTTTATACCTGTGTTTATAAAAAAAGTGTTATAACTGTGTTTATATAACTTTATTTATACCATACAAGTGTTTATACTTATGTTTTTATAACTTTATTTATACCCGTGTTTATAACTTTATTTATTTCTGTGTTTATTACTTTATTTATACCTGTGTTTATAACTTTATTTATACCTGTTTATATACCTGTGTTTATAACTTTATCTATACCTGTGTATATCACACAACAATACCAAACCATGGCCCTCACAAACAAACCAGTAAAAGCCGTGAGCTGACATGCACTAGGCCATCTTAATTGACGTGAATAATTGATAGCTGTATCCGAACATCTATCAATCTTAAGATGCAAGTGCATCCAACGCTAGCAAGTCTTGCAATATCGATTGTGTATGTGATGGCTTGTATTGGCCATTACCCTGACATAACAAGGTGGTTCTGACTAGAGGACAGCTTGTTGATATTTTATTGTGATTGAGACTACTTCATAGGTATATCACGGCTATTTGTGTCGCTTCCTCATTCCATTAACGGCCAATTATGATTTTAATCAATGAATATATCTAGTCATTGAGTTTTAATAACAGAAAAAAATGCATTTATAAAAGCAATATCCAACAGACACTAGTGAGGTCCTTGAGAAAATCTTCTTTCTGAAATAAGTGGCTCTTATAGATCTATATGTTTGCAAATCAGTATTGATTGCTAAGGGAAGATGTTACATTTGTAGGATTCTGAAATCAAATGCTGCTTGCTAGGGAAGATGTTACATTTGTAGGTTCTGAAATCAAATGCTGCTTGCTAGGGAAGATGTTATATTTGTAGGATTCTGAAATCAAATGTTGATTGTTAGAAAATTGAAAAAGTTATATTTGTAGGATTCTGAAATCCAATGTACATTGCTAGGGAAGATGGTATATTTGTACGATTCTGAAGCACCAGCTGGTAGATAGAAACAATGGATTGAACTTTGACCTCAAGGAAGTATGTTTATTCTAGCATCAGTCATGATCTTGAATAATTGAAACAAAACACACTACAGTCTACATACTGGTATCGGATTTATACTGGTATATAACGTAAATTCTGTCAAAACTGACCATAACAGGAACCAGAGGTATACACACCAGTATATGTAGATTCTACCTAAAGTCAGTACCACAGGACCACTGTTTATTATATCTGTAACACACTGTTACAATTACAAAGGTAGCACTGTAGCTGTCCAGGTCAACAATAATCAAGTACATAACTTTGTAATAGTGACAGACAAGCAAAAGTATAATCATTTCATCTTAAATTTATGAAAAAGAATTGCAATCCAGAAAATGTTAGTCTTGTCTTTTCTTGTGTTGTGATTACTTTTGACAAAACTAGTTACTAGTGAATCAAAACAGCTGGACATCTACTGGACTTTATCAAACCACTGCTGACACTGGTGGAACTCCTCACGCCAGCTTTAAAATACCTCTTTGTACACAAATCAAGAGGAAACATTTGTAAATCAATTGTTACCTGTACCCTTACCTCGTTTTAATTGTTACCATTTGCATATTTTAACTGGTACATAAATGATGCAATATATAATCTACACATAAGGAAGGACTTACCTTATGTCTGCATTTTAGAACCACACCATAGGCCCCTACAAAATATCAATACATTTCCATTACCATTTCATTAAGTTAAATTGTACAACAGCTGGATTATGACAAGCTCTTAAAAATGGATCAAATATTTCTTTAAAAATTGAAGGAACTTGTAAACTTGGAATTGCAATACAAATATGAAAATTTCCAGATTAGTACAAAATGTTTTATCGCTAAAATTAAATGTTCTAGTTAATCCCCAGTACTGCCACCAATGTATTGATGCCTAGACCGCTGGCCATTGGTTCGCACAGGTAATGAAGTTCCCCTGACAGTGTGTATGGTAAAGTAGGCATTTGAACACAGTCAACACCTCCCCCCTCACCAACCACCACCAAAAAAATAAGAAATCAAACAAAATGTTTAAAATGTAATTTCAAGTCAGAACATTCGTGAATAGTTAGAAAAAAAGAAGAAATATAAATAATCACGAAATCTTATATCAGTCATCACATCAATTCAAAACAGCGTTTCCGATTTTAAATGATTGCCTAAAGTTATAAAACCTGTAAATGAAATATCTGGTATAGGTAATTTACTGTACATCATTGTGTGCTGGCTGTACAAGGCAAATGTCGTTTGTGGTGACAGATAATTATCATGTTCCTTTTGTGTTCATGTTCAAAGCATGTCTTATGATAAGTAGCTAGGTATTGCAAACTACTGAAGTTCAACAAAATGAGTTTTCATGCCCATCAGTTTTCAATACAAGTTCATATTGTTTCCAGATATCATTTGGGAAATGGACACCTCTGGATGGTTTAAATGAAGTCCCGCCATCTGAAATGCACCACCTGTGTATGGGTATAGATTACAATTTTACACCTGTACTGCACCAGCCCACAGGGAACATGAAATGGACATCTCCTAGGGCAGTGAAATTGACGTCCCTAGTGACAGTCATCACAAGTCATGTTGATTTCACGGCAGTTCAATACCCGTTAGTCTACTCAATACCCTTTGTTTAGATTTCCAAACCTAATTGATGATACACCCAAATGCCCTTGTACACCGTACATAGAACCTTAATTACAATGCAGTTCAATAACTTGAACACACACAACCAACTTACGACGAAACAATGCAAACAAATAACTTGTGTGTACACATGTAGATTATTACAGACCAGGTGATTAAAGGAGAAATGAAAACACTGACTTTAATTCATCATCACTAACTCTGACTAAATGTGCCATGTTATGCTAACTCTGACTAAATGTGCCATGTTATGCTAACTCTGACTAAATATGCCATGTTATCATTTATGCACTCTATTTAGTTTCAGGGTCTACAAAAAAAATAAAAAGACTTTCAATATTATTAGGAATTTTTCATAAGATTATATTAATTTCAAATTAATTTTAATATCACCAAATGTGAATGAAATGTGACTGTCAGTGAGACATCTGGTACCAAGTGGCGACTTAGCTGGAGATCGGGGATGTATACAGGGTACCACTTCGTAAACAGAACAAGAAAATAAAACCCCAGCTCATTGATTTCTTTATCACAGGAAGAACAGAAGATCTACGGCCCCCTAAAGTGTAGTGATGACGGTTGGTTTCACCAGCGACAGTTATATAATGAACAAATATAATCTGTCAGACAGGGACACGACAAGATCATAACTCTGCCGGGTTTGTGTATAATAGTTCTTCCTGTTTGATCTTCTTTTATACTACATAACAACACCTGTCATTCAACAATGATTATAGATCTAAAGTTTACCCCACAAGTCTTGCTGCCACCACCCCCCTCCCCCAAACCCCCCACCCCACCAATCACACCAAACACATTCAATCTCTAGTACTGTTTTAACAGTACTTATGATCAAAGAGGCCATGGGCCTAACTTATTGACCCACCTTTCCAAAACTTAGTCAGATTAAACTTATATTTCTGTTGAACTTGTGTACATATAACATGTACACATAACATGCATGCCTCATTTCTAAAATAATCCTTGGTTTAATTCTGACAAAACCAAACCATATAAAACTTCAATAAATTTCAGATATATATACCTGGTAAAAAACCTCTGAGGAATTTAATTTTAAATTCGGCAAAATGCAAAAAGCGTTTTTATTTTTTGCATACAAATTATTTGAAATAAACTTATTTTAAATTTCCATTTAAACAGGAATAAATGACCTGACTCAATGCTGGAGCACGCTTAGTCTGTTTGAATGACCTTATACATGTATAGTAACTCTAAAGTCTATAACAACAGTTACAGTCCCTACTACTTCAGGCACTACAGAATACCATTGTGGTTTATCATGTATAAAGTAGCCTCCCCTTGATTTTGTCCCAGATAACTAAGGGTACTTTCGTGTATCCGGTTGAAATAGTTGAACCTGTAAAGAAAACGACAGACACAGATCTGAACCGAGGCTTACCTCAGGAACATCCGGCACGTGTAGATTCAGTGGTCCAGACGTACCTGACCGAAACTAAAATGCTAACTATTGCTAGTTTGCGTTATTTCTTTCTAAAACAATGTCAAGCCACATATAGTTTTTAAGATAGCTTATGTTATTCAGTGGACGCGTGAGAGAAGGGCATAATATTCTTGATACATTGTTTTTTATTCTCCAAAACTGTGCATTTTTAGCTCTGCTTAAAGATCGGTCCAAGTGCGTTTGTTTATCGTAGAATATTTCTGCGCCACACGTACTGTTTCAACCGGGATACGCGAATGTAGCGTTAGTGTAGCACAGTTGAACCAGGGCATTTCTGTTGAACAGATAGCTTAGTTGGTTAGATTTTAGGTCCAGGGTTGTATTCCTGTTCTAGCCCCGCTGATTTTTTTCACACAGAACATTGCTGTTGATTTTTTTTGTTAATTTCATATTCTTGTTTATTAAAAAAAAAAAAAGTCCAGCAAGCCACAATGTATGGTTTTCTTTTCAGAAATGATTTATGAAAGCTGTAGTCATGCTGGAAAAAAGTGTCCAATGCAGTGTTACATTTTTGGTAGTGGTACAGGGATTCTTTCAAGTGTCAAGTATGATTTAGCTCAAAGTTATGTCCTTTAATATATGAAATATGGCAGCGAGGGATATAGCAAGTTTCTGATTCCCTAAGACTATGTCTATTTCCCTGAGGTAAATCTGAGGGAAGTAGCACCTAAACTGTAATTCATTATATAGATTGTAGATCTACAAACACTCAAACAATTTAAACAGTCTATTCCAACCAAAATTTATGAACCCCTATATAGATGGAGAGCCATATCTACTCTTTTTATATCATCCGTGGCAGTGTTCGAACTTAACCAACGACTCATAGACAATGTTATCAATAAGAATGTGACAACTGGCCATGGGTGGAGTCAGGTCCATACAAGCTCCACCTATCTCCACCTGATTGGCTTGGTCATTTCCATGAGTAAGTTACCAAAATTTTTTTGCTGAAAGTGAATCTGCATCCCAAGGAAATGTTGAGTAAGCTAGTCTGCATGGATGTTTTAGTTCTCAGAATAACACACAGCACAAAGAGGACTTATACTCCATGGACAGTGAAATCAGGCAAAATGCAGGGATATCATAAGTCAATTTAACAAATTACTTTGATATAAAGTGAATTAAGCAGAGGTAAACTAACACACAATTTATTGAACACTATTTGTTATACTTTTTATCTCAGCAATACCTTACTGGTTTCATTTTTTAAACCTGAATAATGATCTCGTCAGTCTATTAAAAGTTATCTCAAGCCTTCAATATAATAATCTCTCAAGGATTTAATTCATATTCTATATAATTCTAGATTTTGACTGAGTTAATACCCTCGGTTTGAAGGATAATTGTCGGAACTAACTGTGAAGATTGTTTATATGACAGGTACAAGTGAATCAATGCAACAGTGCAATTTAATATAATAGTCGGAAACGGTCAAAGCTCTTTACCATAAATAAAAACGCTCCATGCAAAATCTTGGACCAATAATTGTATCCAGTCGGTGCCTGATTTTCTATATCAATTGACAATTCTAAAGGAAATCACAAATCAATACATGTTTCTTGTTGTAGTTGGTTGTATTTTACGTCAGAACTTCAAACTACAAAGGCCAGGAGGTCAGCCCAGAATACAAATTTGACATTAGGTTACCATTGATCGAGTTTTTAATGATCTAAATAGCTGTGTAACTATTCCATGGTAACTTTTATTGACATCCTGTTACAGGTATTCAAAACGGAGATTAAAACGTAAAATTTGTATCACCAGACAAAGGCTATACAGAAGCACAACATGAATGATTCAAACGTTTGTATCTGTGACACATGACAGATAGATTGTCAGCACTGGTATAGATTGTCAGGTAATTTACATAAACAGAAAAGGATACCTACATTATGATGAACAATAACACAAAGCGGGAACCAAGCCCCAGTATGACAATAAAATGCAATAATTTTGAAAAAAAAGACACATTTATATCTCATTTCAATTCATATAAACTATTTCTCAGACTACTTAAAGGTATATCTCGCAATTTCCATACCATCTCTGCAATTGTCCTAGGATTTTACTCAAACTGTTTAGAAATTTTAATTTCATATATATGACAGTTACACACAGTATGAACAGTTTAACTGATAAGGATGCTCCAGTCTGTTTACATTGGAATTTAAGCCATCAGATTTACTACAGAAGATCCGGAAAAATGCATGGACTATTTAAGGAAACTAAGGTGAATCAGAATAAGCCAGGTCTACAATGTGTACAATAACTTGATGATTTAAACACAGAGTAGAAATGTAAGAGGGAGTTTAACTTGGATACATAACCGTCACATATAGTAGTGCAACAATGTACATGTAAATCAGGAGTAGAAATGTGACCAAGATTTGTGGTACACACCTTAAACTATAACTTGTACAGTGTATCATTATACCTCATTTATGTAACGGCCTGTTTCAGTGGATTATATTGATCACATGACAGGTTAATACAACATTGTGTCGCCCTCACATGCTGAAGTTTCTCTGGTCATATTTATCTTATTTGCAGCTTCTTTGGAAAAAACAGCAGATTCTAAATGACTGAACGAAGCATGTACAGTTAACATTTGTGTATCCCCCTAATGAAACATGCTTGATCTCGGGGAAACAAAGAATTGTATTTCCTTACCAAAAGAGCAAATTCAATTTTTTATTATACTGAAATAACACAATAGCAAATTAAAAGTTGATCAGGTTGACATGCAAGTTGTCATCTACTTCAGTCACTGTGAACTCAGGTGTGCTTGCTCCTGCCTTATCATTTGGAAACAAATAATCATGTTACCCTACAACAAGAGTATTAAATGTAAGGTGTAAATCAGGAGTAGAGATGTAACAAGGAGCTGGAATACGTACCTTCACCTACTACTCCCAAGATTTCGTACTTGTTCATCACATAGCAATCTCTCGTCCTCCCAATCACACGTCAAACGGCGGACGATCCCGCTCATAAATACTGAAATCAACACAAGAATTATAAAAGTACATTGCATTGAAATATTATATATCAATATAATATGAAGCTAAATAACAAGCAGAAAATACCAGGGCATGAGGTTATAATGAACAGGGCATCATTTACACACCAAGGCATCATATACCACACCAAGGCATCATATACCACACCAAGGCATCATATACCACACCAAGGCATCATATACACACCAAGGCACCATATACACACCAAGGCATCATATACCACACCAAGGCATCATATACACACCAAGGCATCATATACCACACCAAGGCATCATATACACACCAAGGCACCATTTACACACCAAGGCATCATATACCACACCAAGGCATCATATACCACACCAAGGCATCATATACCACACCAAGGCATCATATACCACACCAAGACATCATATACCACACCAAGGCATCATATACCACACCAAGACATCATATACCACACCAAGGCATCATATACACACCAAGGCAACAGAAAATTTTATCGTGAGCCAGAACAATCATTAAAACTGCACATCAGTTGAATAATCAGTATGCAACCTCACAGGTATACATGACAAGTATCAAATTAAGAGAAATCTTTAAATCACATGATAAATGTCTATAACTCAGGTCCAGATAACCCTGCAGAATAAAAATTGAATTGATCTTAAAGTCAATAATTGTACTTAGGCAATCTGATTTACTTGAACTAGTTAAAAGGAAATTTACTTTTACATAGACTAGACCATCTTAAAAATCAATTTTAAATGTAGATTTTATTGTTCTTCCGTTCAGTTCACATATATCTGATTTACGGTCTAATCTACAGCATATTCTCAAATATTTTTTAAGTGAATTAGCTAGATATTTCATATTAAGGAACACATCAAATCTTTTTGTTTAAAAACAAATGCCTCCTTCAGCAAAGAATAAATGAGCAAATAAAAATACACCTGTATAAGGACATACCATACATAATAAAACATGTACCTATGATACACGAGCATCATCTTCTATACATGTATGTATTGTTATGCTCTCTCTCATGACAGAATCTTCAACATGTTGAAGGTGGTCATTATTCATTAGAACTAGAACTATTACTGCAATAAAAGGTAGTAATATCTTAAAAGTATTTTGGAGAAAATGTTGAATTCATATGTCATCTCCTTTAATTCAAATTTGAATTCAAACTATTTGGTTACAATACAAAACTATATACAGGGGTTGACACTAACACTAGTCCGCTAGTCCTGGACTAGTAGATTTAACAGGGGTCGACACTAACACTAGTCTGCTAGTCCTGGACTAGTAGATTTCAGTAAGGACTAGTGAATCACCTAACCTAACTGGTCCTTTGGACTTGTGAAAAATATGATTATAAAATAAGAATATTTTTTTCTAAAATTTAGAAAACTGCTTGAAATAAGATAAATTGCATGATAATCGTCAAATTTTACCTAAAACTTTCCCATATTTTTATGGCAGTAGATATTTTAAGTCCACTACAATCGATTACTTTTGATGTTTTGTGCTGTAGATCGCGATGTTTCCATATCAGGAAATCTTGGACTACCGATAGTTACATTGACGAAGGACTAGCAATACAATTTATTCAACTAGTCCTGTGGACTACCATTACCAAACAAAAAAAGTTAGTGTCTATCCCTGATATGAGAAATCTCTATTCTCTATAGTCTCCAAAACAATGCTTGTAAGTTTAGATAACTAAACGTCACATTATAGACTAATAAGTAAAATAAATAGCTGACTATCATCACATTTACTAGACTTTTACACTTTATAAACTCTGATCAATTACTATAGATTGTACTGTGTATACTATAAGCCATCAAGTTATTATATAATTTGGAAATTCTGTGTTTTCAATTACACTAGATACAGATAGGGCCTCACTGAACCCTCAGGAGAAACTGTTTAGCCAATTACTACCTTTCATTGATATCAATAGCCTCAATAACAAAGTCAACATCAAACCTGGTCAGGTCAATTACCAGAGAAAGCTGGTGATGTGTTTATATTTATGGTAGCCTGTTTTGTTGGCAATCCACACACAATTAGGTCAAAAGTATAACACAACAATACACCAACGTATATGAGTACACAATCTATTGGTACCAAGGACATTTTCTTATGTAACATTTAACAGTAAGTTTACAGTAATTAGTTTGCACAGGTGTCTGCTGAGACTGCAGGTGCTGAAGTTAACTAATAAAATGAATTAAAAAAAACATATCTGTGTGACACCATGCAGTCATCACAAAAGATTTAAAAATAATGTGATCACTTTCAACTGAGGATAAAATGTTCACAAGACTCTGATGATAAACACGTTTAGATGATACCGATAGGTAGCCAAATTATCATTTCTAGTCAGCTTCAGTAATCTAGTTACAAATGTAGCTACATGCCTAAAAAATCCATTGATCGGGTTTCACTTGTAAACCAGTGTCGTGTTGATATCATCCAAAAACAAGTTTTAATATCAAATTTATATTTTTTTGTTTTCTCATGACAACTTGGACCAGGATGAAGTACAAATATTAAAAAGAAATATGACTTAAAGTTGAGAAATATCCTTTTTAATATATACAAATTGTATGCATAACTTTCCCAAAATAATATTTTTTATACAAGTTCAAAAGACAAAGCAGAACATAAAGAGAGTTATAGATCAAATCAATAGATAAGCGGGGTAGATAGTGGATGTATTTAATTTTACATGCCATTCAAACAATTCAACAAGCTTGAAATCATGTCTATATGACTTTTTTTCAAATCTGCATGCAACCTAGTTAAGGTTAATATTTTATAACTGATCCCAATACTTCTTTTCTTAGATACAAGTTTCCAGAAAAAAAGTTACATGGTTTGCCAGTCACGAGTGGGGACTTATAGGTGGCATGCATAACATACTTCCAATATGAAGGTTAATCAGTAGCAAGCCAACTTTGTCAAAGTGTAAGATTGGTAAATTTTGAGGGAAATTGTCAAGATTTCATATATCCTTCAAGAAAGTGCTATATCAACTAACTGACTAGTTCCCAATATTGTCTGATAATTGGTGTTTATTAAAAGTATACATGTCCTCCATCAGTCGTGATAGTGCTAGCTGGAATTTAAATTAAACCTTCTTGTCGAATACAGAGAGTATTCGACCCAACATGTTATTTCATTTTGTCTAAATTAATAATTCAATTTTATTTGATAAATCAATTTTATTCATGTTGATTAAATAACACAAAAAATATCTTATTTTATTTGCGATTGTTTTTTTCTTTGCTTGCTTGCTAAGACAACCGTAATAATTTGAAAAAAGAGGCATGCAGTACAACATACGGCATCAACACACAAGGAAAAACTCAAAGTTGACATGATACAAAAGTCAACACCTGGTAGGCCTACCCTTTTAAAATTTTGCGGGATCTGTTTGGTTTTCTTATAAATCACGAATTAATATCAGATGAATTAAAATATTGTGAAACTGAATTTCAATATAAATAAAGTTAAGGTATCTTTTGAATGATAACATGGCAAACCCTACATATCCAGAATTCTCAGTAAACTTACAAAACTTACTGTAATCTAACGGGACATTTATGTACCCATTTGCCTACTATTCTATTCATACAAAAGTAGGAATTCATATTATTTCAACACATAACAATTATTTAGAAGTATATAAATTTTACCTTGAAACACAAACTGACTGATGTCATCTGTGACACAAATCAGGAGAAATCATGGTTAAAAAGCTTCCGAGACAAGTTTGTCACTCACTCAGCAGAGTAAGCTCCGAAGTAGCAACTCACAAACGGTAAATTTCTTCAACAAACCTCCAAACTACATTATCAAGACAATTTGAAGTTACTGCAACATACGGGTTTGCATCACTGATTGTTCAGTTAACACTTTTCCTTTTCAAATCAAACACAAAATCGCATATATCCGAGTGAATGGTAACGCATGTAAACAACTCCCTCTCATGACTTCATCTGTCCGCCATGAATATTTTCCTTGCCAACATACCCAGCATGCATTTCAAGCCTGGACCGCTTCGAAAGTCATGACCTTATATACTGGGGCTCACCATGGGGTTACATTAATATCATACATACTTCGCAAATTCAATATCGGGGAAAATGTGTTCATTAAACAACGAAATAAAATAATCTAATTTGTGAATACATCGAATGACATTCAATAAAAATATTCGACAGAAATAAATGCTTAAATTTGAACAATGATTTTGAGAACTTACAATCAAAAAAATCTGTTTTATTTTTTCAGACTAAAGTCACACTAACACAATTGGTACAATTTTGACAGTTTTTTAGTGATCTTTAAAAATTCAGATCTTGTATCTGGAATGTTTCTTGATTCTTGACAAAGACTACCTATGGTGGTTCATTTTCAGGAAAAGATTTATATCTAAGTAATTTATTTTTGAAAATAGAACGCTTAACTCGGAGTGAGATTTCGTCCGTTTTTCGGCCGTAAATAGTACCCAAATTGGTACACCATATCACAGGCTATGGAAATTGTTTTTATTTCTACAAGTTGATGTGCCGATTACAACAAAATATATTGCTTTTATAGATACCATATTGAACTATAATTGTATATATTCACTTTTATATTATCCGAATATAAGGACCAGAAATCAACATTTAAACAGGCTTATATTTAACCCCTTGAAAATCCTCCAAAGTTTCGTCGACGTACGTCGTTTTTACTGGTTTTCTGATATGTTTACTTTGAAGTCATCGTGTACTCTTAAAATGTTCCTGAAAACAAAACTATTCGGCAGAAATGCTGTTAAATATCTATTTTGTTATACTGTCAAAGAAAAATGCTCAAATTAAATTTTTAAGTACTATTCGAACAATTTTCTGACCGTGTACCAATTTGGGTAGTGCACCAATTGTGGTAGCGTGACGTTAGATATAACTCCAGGGGGGAACACTTAATTAGTTACGCTCCCTGAAGAGCATAAGTGAGCGGAACCCTCGGAGTCTCGAGGATGTCTTCTTAAATACTACTGACTTTGTTCTATGACATTATGCCATTAAAAATGAGTTACTTTTTATTTTTGATTAAATGACAGTTTTTTTTTTATATCAACCACGGTCTAATCTAATTCCGTGATATCAACATAATGCCACGAAATTAGATTATCTGAGTCCGTGATAATGCTCGAATAAAGCTCGATGTTATAAAAACTGATCCATATTATTTCAGCTGCAGTATCTAATGGAAGAGGTTGATTTCATTATTCATTAGTGTGAAAGTTCGTGACTGTAAAGACAGTGTCAACTGGGCCCACTTGTATAAAACATCTCAAAGTTAAGGAAAATCTCAAGCAATGTATTGTCTATGGGTTGAGATGTTTGATACAGATGTGTCAACTAATGGTAGAAAATTAACATCAGAGTCGACCCCGTTTAGATGTTCATAATGAAATAAATATAATTATATTATGGGTATCGGTGTAAATATATGGATTTTTACATTAAATCATTAAAAATAATTACCTATAAGAGTATTCTCACTTTTATATAAATGTAGAACTGTACTTGGTGCAGGAGCGGGAAAATGCAGGGCCAGATCAGGGTTCGAACGCGGGTCCCTCAGAACTCTAAATAGACGCTCTACCAATTGACCATAAAATGTCATAAAATGTCCAATTTTTCGTTTCCTCGAATGGTTACTCTCAGATGCCGCATCAAATCAATACAAATATTCATTTTCCCCCCGTACTATCATCACCTGGAACTCTATACCCACAGACATCGCCCAATCGCCTGATTTTGATTTAAATTCATTTAAATCAGCAATTGTAGGCTTCAACCCTTTTCCTCTATACTGACTTCATGTATACTTTTTGTAAATAGTTTGATCATATACGAAAATACCATAAAAAATAAGTTTTTAACTGCCACCTCTAGGAACCTCTCAAAGTGACGATTGCACTCCATCAAGGAGATCTGTCACTTAATGGGAGATGATGATGAGCTTGTTATACTGTAAACCCTATTTAACCATTTCATCCCTATGTAACTTTAGTAGACTCTATCGTGCATTGATATGGACGGGTCCATTATGGTCTACAGTGGTGAAAGGGTTGAAGAATTTTGAAGAAAAAAATATCACACATAAAATAAAATTACCAAGTCCTAATCGATTGTTTGAGAAACGGAATCGGAAATCTGTTTTTGTTTATAATAGAAGATGCTCCAAGTCAGAGAGACTTATCGCCCTTATAGTGCGTGTTTTATATTCTTTATTTTTAACTTTATTTATTTTACAACAATTATGAAACAAGTTTTTACAACTTACATATCTCTCTTGTTTCCCCGGATGTTAGCTCACAGTGGTATTAATGAGGGAGGAAACCGGAGTACCAGGAGAAAACCCACGTAGTCGGTCAGGTGACCCCATATCTTGTTTTATATTCACGGCGCGTGTTACTCTGTGCGTTTATATTTACTGTCCGTGATATATTGATCTCTTACTCTCTGAATCAGACAGACCGGTTATTTTTTTGTGATGGCGGTGATCGTACGTTACCCAGACACGTATCTGTCTAATTACGAATGTAGTGTCCGAATGACAAGTATTTCAGTCGAATTATTTCCTACGTATTTTGGCGGGGGAAAGACGGTTGACAAAGTTTGTCGAGAACAGATCACAAATTTATATTATCGTATTTGTCGAATGTAATAAGCATACTTAGAAATACATCTCTAAATAGTAGCCGAGCAACATAGTGCACATAATTACCTCCGATTTCAGGTTACAGACAATAATTCTAATGAATATTTGATTAGATCGTCCCACGTAAGATGAGTAGCGAATGTATCTGTATCGATTTTGACCATATGTCTTGAATGTAAAATTGCCGAAGCACAAAAGTTTAACAGGTACACGTGCTCCTCAACGTATAAGATTTTACATGTATGGATACACGAGTGATATGGAGCGCCTTTGATGTGTGTATGCAGATGCGCCTTCGACATGCCATTATTGATGCACTACCTGGATAATTTCCAACAGTTAGACATTTTTTATTGTTTTGGAACACATTGGTCATGTCGTCTGTCTCATCGTCTGACACGAATACGTCTGCATCCAGCTGCTACTACTACGTCGACAAACGGAAATTCCTGGAAAAGAAAACACACAAAATATTTAGGGATTATCTGTACGTCCCGAAGAAATCTAGATCGCGGGTAGGAATCTTAATGTAGTTTTTATCTTTATTTCGATTTTGACACAGCTTTTATTTTTCTATCAATTACTATCAAGTTTCTATCGAATCCTCATTTGATGTCTCAGTAAAAGCACCGTTTGTATGCATGGAGACAAGATGTAATTAACGTAGCTACGTATGATGAAATAAGAAATTAAAAAACATTGACATTATTTTAGAAGTGACTGGATTATCAATTATCATCTCCACTGTCCAAATGCTTTTATTTACCAATGTATTTTAATCTTCATTAAATAAAATATATATTTTTACGCATTGTTTTCTCGAGGACACCTATTTCTGATTCTTTTCTTGCGGTAGCGGATTACTACGGAGCCAATTAAAAAAAAAATCCCTTTGAAGGCCTCATTGGGTTTTAACCAATCAGGAAATTCCGAGCAATTTGGTCCGATGTAAACAAAGCGCAATTATTTGAAACATGGCTGACAGGTGAAGATCAGCTGGGTTCGGAACTTAATGATGCACTTTCAGTTTATATAACGATGATGTTACGTTGTCTGTGTAGTCAAGAAATGAATATCGTAATGGTGACACTTCGATAAACCGGGTTACTGTACATTATAATCCAGAAATGGATAAGGAAGCACCAGAGTACCTGTCGGCTGAGGAGCTTCGAAATCGGCTGTATCACAGCCTCCGTGATCGAGGTTTGGTCGATAATATCAAGGTGATTAGTTAATTTCTGATACTTTTTTTTGTGTTATTCCGTGGGCAGTATTACGAATAACATTCGGATTTTAATTAAACATTACTAAACCGTCACCTTTACCTGTTGACACTATACTCACCTAGTGCCCGCCATGCGTGAAAAACGTGTTTACACTTGTCACACATGAAAATTTGTGTCGGTTACATATATCCAGTTAAATAACGATGAATATCGTGTTTCATTGATCATTTGTTTGTTTCAACAAAAGATAAGCTTTAAAGAGATATTTCTGTGCTTGGGTAAAGATGCTAACACACAAACTGCAGGAATTGGAAAACATATAGCACAGGAGTCTGACGGTTAATCAATTTAAGTATAACAATCTATACTGTATACAAAAAATACAATATAGTATACAGTTTTTTTTTTATATACAGGTTGTTATATATACTTATATTGATTAAACGTCAGACTCCTGTGGAAGGTGGGTTAGACTCATTTCATTCCTGGTGGTGTTTTTTTTTTTATAGTATACAGGGTATTTTTTGTATATGCAGATTGTTATGCTTATATTGATTCATTCATATCTTTATTTCTCCATAATTGAAGAGTTACATATATACATGCATGCATAATTAATAATTAATGAATTAGTACAGAAATATGTGCAAAAAAAAATATGTGACAAAAGTAGAATTAATTCATTGACAGAAAATGTGCTGCATATCAAGTTAATCGAGGAAAAGGGAAGTAGCAGCAAAATAAAATAAAATATCAAAAAGATGCTACATTACAAATCTTCAACATGTCATTGAATGTTTATGCTCTACACAAAGTATGTTTTGGTTATAAGGAGATGATAATGATGACGACGATGAAGCATAAAACCAGCTTTATCATAAAAGAGATATATACTGTAGTATTGGTTTTATTCTTCTCTCATCACATATACAAATAACGTCTCTTAAGGTTTCAAAAACCAAAACTGCTGGCCAGGTGCCTATGCATCAGGAAGGAAAATATATAAATCATGGTCTTTTCCCTAATTGATTCTTTTCTGTCACTCCTACACTTTTTCTTTTGGTTTTCACAGTCTCAACAAGAATCTCTAGTTTAGAAAGTATGACTGGGTTGTCATGTGAATGTGTGAATGTATTGGTGGAGGTTATATGGCCCTTTTTCATGAGTGGACACGAAAGCCATAGACTTTGACTATTGTCATCTTAACTGTTGTAAGGATGTAGAACCTAAAACAGTCATGCTAACTTTAATCTTATCCATATTTATTTTTTATTAGAGTCAGCTCCGGAACAGTATTGTCACAGAGCTACAGCAGACAGCACGAGGACAGGGTCAGTTGACACTTAGGGACCTACGAGTCCCAGAGGAGGGATCTCTACTTCACCGTGCCTCAAACAGCCTAATTGCAGACCACCTACGCCGCTGTCAGTATGAATACTCACTCAGTGTCTTCCTCCCGGAAAGTGGCATCAGTAGAGATAAGGTTTGTACAACATTTCAGTAGAGATACAATTTGTACACTAATTCAGTAGAGATGAGGGTTATACAACAATTCAGTAGAGATAATGTTTGTTTCAATATTAATGTTATTAAAATAATTGATTAATTGACTTCTCATAAGAGTTAAAATGATAATGAACTTAATCAGTTAAATGTTTATTAAATGGTTGATTTGTTCCTACTTTTAGGTGTTTGGAACACACGATCTTCTGCAGCTCCTGGGGATCAGCTCTCAGTCTCGACTCTACCGGAAGATGGTGAGGTTTAGTTGTTTGGGCGGGTATTTAGCAGATCTACCAGTCTTAGGCTAGCACAGGAAAACAGTTCTTAAACCCATTCTGCTAGATTCTATGCAGTATTTTATTAATTATATCCATCACTTTTAAAAGCAAAAATCTTCTTAGTAGATGTGCATATAACTAATGACTACTGGTAGATGGATTTTATCAGATCTCTACACCCCAAATGTCCTGGCCATGATGAGGGGTTAGGCCTTGTTAAAACATAAGATTAAAGGTTAGTTTTGTTATGTACTGTATGGCTGATTAAAGGTTAAATCTTGGTATTAAGTGTTTGTTGTCTTGTTTTTTACAGGCCTCACCTCAAGGGGAACATCACAAAAAAGGTAAACTTCTACGTTATAACTCTTGTTAAACACTGTCACTCACTTGTCACAGAACAGATTCTGGCTGATTGATGTCAGAGCTCATATCAACATAATTTGATTTCGGTGGTATATTATTAAAGGTAGTGTATATTTCTGGAAAGTCTATGATTATATGCTTGTACATTGCTCGCATTCACATTGGTCGGATCCTATTAACATAACCAGTCCTCAAAAACTCATGTAGACTGGTTATCTGGTGAATATCAAATTCAAAATATAGCCTATATGTAAATTCCCCGGAACCTGTCGTAGCATGTGCGCAGTTAGACAGGAATGCGATCTGAAGGCGAACGTTTATCCTCCGTTACATCTGAAAATTTACAAAAACTACTTGAAGATGAAGATGCTGCTAACATAAAAAAGGCCACCGAACACACAGTGTTAACCTTGCTTAACCTTGACGATGTCTTCAAAAGCTACAATGCCAAACTGTTGGATTCAACCCTGGCTAAATTTTATACGAAGGCTCGTTCCAGTAAAAGTTACCAATACAAAATTGTATTGTTGAAGCACATAATAAAACAATTATGGGCTTTTGTGCTGGTAAATATGATGTGATGATATGAACCTGAAACCTGATGATATGAACCTGAACCTCAGCCTCGACCAATATCTCTTTTTTCAGGTTCATATTACATCATATTCACCAGCACAAAAGTCCATAATTGTCTATTGTAGCCCCAAGTACACTGAAGCTCAAATACTGAATATGTGTTCTATTTATAGGATTCTTGTGGCAACTGCTTAGTGAAATTGCAAGTCTCCATACCAATGCTGTCCAGGACTTTGGCACCCAGACTGACCTCATCAAGGTCGGACCCATCACTTCCCTGGGTAAGTTATACCCAGACTGACCTCATCATGGTCTGACCCATCAGTTCCCTAGGTAAGCTATACCCAGACTGACCTCATCAAGGTCTTACCCATCACTTCCCTAGGTAAGTTATACCCAGACTGACCTCATCAAGGTCGGACCCATCACTTCCCTAGGTAAGTTATACCCAGACTGACCTCATCATGGTCTGACCCATCACTTCCCTAGGTAAGCTATACCCAGACTGACCTCATCAAGGTCTTACCCATCACTTCCCTAGGTTAGCTATTTGCAGACTGACCTCATCAAGGTCTGATCCATCACTTCCCTAGGTAAGCTATACCCAGACTGACCTCATCAAGGTCTGACCCATCACTTCCTTAGGTAAGTTATACCCAGACTACCCTCATCAAGGTCTGACCCACCACTTTACCAGGAAAGTTATACCCAGACTGACCTCATCAAGGTCTAACCCATCACTTCCTTAGGTAAGTTATACCCAGACAGACCTCATCATGGTCTGACCCATCACTTCCCTAGGTAAGCTATCCCCAGACTGACCTCATCAAGGTCGGACCCAACACTTCCCTAGGTAAGTTATACCCAGACTGGCCTCATCAAGGTCTGACCCATCACTTCCTTAGGTAAGTTATACCCAGACTAACCTCATCAAGGTCTGACCCACCACTTTACCAGGTAAGTTATACCCAGACTGACCTCATCAAGGTCTGACCCATCACTTCCTTAGGTAAGTTATACCCAGACAGACCTCATCATGGTCTGACCCATCACTTCCCTAGGTGAGCTATATGCAGACTAACATTATCAAAGTGAACCCCTCACTTCATGGAGTAAGGTGAATAATCAAATGTGCTTCTTTTTGAACCTTTCATTTTCATTTTCTGTTAAAACCAAACAATCTTTCTCAATCTCAGATGAAAAGCTGGTAGGAGTTGATGACCTTTACTCCTCCAAAAGAGATGACCACTATAAGTTTGGAGTGACGGCAGTGGAGGACAGATTGCTGTCTTTTCAGCGGCAGTTAGAGGAACGTTACAGATCTGATCTTCAGCTTGAGGTGAGAGTTAATAGGAGTATGGCTGGATAACAATTCTTAACACTTCCTTTAAAGATTATGATTTTGCTAAATAAAAATATATTTTTTTAGACACAGGTGTATATAAAAGTGTTTGTGTTGACAGCTTGCACGGATGAAGGAAAATGAGATTGCCCGGATCCGTATCGAGGAGAAAGAGAATAGTCGTCGTGAGATGGACCAACTACGACGTGAGGTACAGGCATCATCCTAACTGATTACTAATAAAATTTCATACAGGTTCTTTTAGTGATTATATTATTACTAATGTACACACAAATACAGGTTGATGAAAAAAAAATACAGGTGGTTTGAAAACAATTTTCATCTGGAGACTTTCCACAATATCACTTAATGTTGAAGGGCAGTCTGCACTAAAAATTACTCGGTGCTGAATCAGTTTTGTGAAATATAAATTAATTTCAGTAATTCTAAAACTAATGAAGCTTTTCCAAAATTTATTGAACTTTAAAATTTATTAAAATTAAAAGTTACTTGTGTTTGGTTGATATCTCACTGTGCTAAAATCACTATATACAGTACGTTAAACTTGACTTTGATTAATTAATAACCGCATTGTTTGGTCACTGATGTTCTTTGTGTGGTATTTTAGATGGAGAGAACCTACCAGAATAAAACAGAATCCATGACAACAAGAGAGCGTAACTCTATAGAGAGAATGCAGAGAGAACAGGAGGTACTCAAACTTTGTTCTAACCTTTTTTTCAAGTCAAACAGATTTCGGCTGAATGAGAAGGACTCGCATGTAAAGTTATTTTATTTTATTTTAAAATGTGTAGCATTACAGACTAACAGGACAATACACAACATAAACCACAGCCAATTATAGTTATTAGTGATAGCTGTTCCAGCTTCACGTCTAGTCTCACATTACCTAAAGAGTTGTTTAATCAGAACAACTTATTAAAATCACATGTGTATAAGGTGTATGGAATCTTCAAACTCATAGAGTGTACATGATGTGTGGATGCATTTTGGTAGAGATGTGTGGATGGATAAGACTGTGTACAATTAAGTGTACATGATTGTTTCAATGTTTGGTAGATGTTTGTGTTTGTCTGTGATTGACATTGATCATACATGATTGTTTCAATGTTTGGTAGATGTTTGTGTTTGTCTGTGATTGACATTGATCATACATGGTTGTTTCAATGTTTGGTAGATGTTTGTGTTTGTCTGATTGAGATTGATCATACATGATTGTTTCCATGTTTGGTAGATGCATGAGAAGGAGATATACACCCAACGTCAGACCATACTTGAGGAAATTGAACAGCTGCGAAGGCGGGAGGCCGACGTCAAACGCCAGGCTGACATCAACGACAGGTAGGTCACACATAAAGATGCTGTTTTGTATTGAGTACAAGAGAAGTACTGTTGCCGCTGAGTAACCTTCCCTGTCATACTTTATTCTTTCAATATCTGAACAATTGTCCAGCTCCCATCATCACAGAGTTTGGTGTACTTCTAAGTTCTAGTTTTATTGCCAGGATTTCAGGGGGTTATTTCTGTTATACCTCTAACCAAGATCATACACAACTGGACATTATAAACCTTGTTGTGTAGATCCAGTTTCATATTACAATATATATGATATGTTTTTGTAACTGAAGTTGAAGGAAGACATCCAACAGTTACCCTTGTGCTCACATCAGATATCTTGTGTTTGCAGGGAGAAACAACTGATGGTAGATCGACTACGAGATAAGGATTCTAACCTCAAGCATCGAGAACATCTAGTCAGTAGACAGGAGACCGAGTACGAACAGAAACTAGCCAATGAAATGACAAAGTGAGTACGAACAGAAACTGGCTAATTAAATGACAAAGTGAGAACAAACGGAAAGTATCCAACAAAATGACAAAGTGAGTACCAACAGAAACTGGCAAATGAAATTACAAAGTAAGAAAGAAACAGAAACTAGTCAATGAAATGACAAAGTACAAACAGAAAACAGACAAGTGAATGACAAAGTGAGTACAAACAAACCAGAAAATGAAATGACAAAGTGTGAACAAACAGAAACCAATCAATGAAATGACAAAGTGTGTACAAACAGAAACCAGTCAATGAAATGACAAAGTGAGAAACCTGACAATGAAATGACAAAGTGAGTACGAACAGAAACCAGAAAATGAAATGACAACATGAGTACAAACAGAAACCAGACAATGATATGACAAAGTGAGTGCAAACAGAAACCAGACAATGAAATGACAAAGTGAGTAGGAACAGAAACTGGCAAATGAAATTACAAAGTAAGAAAGAAACAGAAACTATTCAATGAAATGACAAAGTGAGTACAAACAGAAACCAGACAATGAAATGACAAAGTGAGTACGAATAGAAACCTGACAATGAAATGAACAAAGTGAGTACAAACAGAAATTGCAAATGAAGGCCTTTGTATATTATGGACCTTATTTTGCCCCAAATCCACTTAAACTCTGAACTGTTCATTGAATTTTCAAATCCCTGTTTATTTAGATTCCAAACAAAACAACCCCATACATAGCTGTTTTCTTTTATTCTGGAACTTTTAACACTCCTTGTGACTAGGATGTAATTTGAATTAAAAACAAAATTACATATTAAAACTGATAAGTTTCAGTAGACAAACATTGGTGTACTCGGTGTTTTTTGATTTCCAGGTCAGTTAGTTGTATCAGGTAACTCTACAGTATTATAGCATGACATCAACTCAACCTTAAACAGACATTATGTTACTGCACTATTTCTGAACTCAAAACTCTACACTGCATCATGTTTTTTCCATTTGATTCTTTCTGTGTAGCATAGATATGCTTTTTAAATCACACTCACTGCAGACACTGAAACAACAAAGAGGAATGATAAAGATAATTTGAAAAGGGGTTGTTTTTAGAAATATTCTTTATTTTAATTCCACTTTTGAAGAAAAATATTGATTGCAAATTATTTCATAATCACAAATTTGTAGATTTGCAAACTTCTGCATTATACAGATTTTATAACATATAATATGATAGCTTGTCTCATGACTAACGTGGTAGGGACAGGGAGCATTAATCTGATAATCAACAAATTTTACCATGTTATAAATTGGATGCCAATTTATGATTACAAATGTTTGAATCACATTGTTGTCTGTTCAGATTCAAGGTAGAAGAACAAGCAAAGTTTATGGCGAGGACACAGAACCTGGAAATCAGGGAGGCCAAACTGAGAGGTGAGGTAACAACCTAGACCCCCTTAGACCCCACATCCCACCTGGGACTTTATAATTTGGTCTACACTTCTGGATCATGGAGAATTAAAGCGCTGTTAGCCATATTGTATTGAGTCATATTGTGTAGATCTAATCAGTTGTGTATTTGTGGCCTTACAGAGGATGAACGGCGTGTAGGGGAGGATAAGGATCACCTTCAGGGACTCAAAGACACGCTCAAGGACAGAGAGGTCCGCATCAACGAACTTGAGGTAAGTTACTCAATGACAGAGAGGTCTGCATCAACAAACTTGAGGTAAGTTACTCAAGGACAGAGAGGTCCGCATCAACAAACTTGAGGTAAGTTACTCAAGGACAGAGAGGTCCGCATCAACAAACTTGAGGTAAGTTACTCAAGGACAGAGAAGTCTGCATCAACAAACTTGCGGTAAGTTACTCAAGGACAGAGAGGTCTGCATCAACAAACTTGAGGTTAGTTACTCAAGGACAGAGAAGTCTGCATCAACAAACTTGAGGTTAGTTCAAGGACAGAGAAGTCTGCATCAACAAACTTGAGGTAAGTTACTCAAGGACAGAGAGGTCCGCATCAACAAACTTGAGGTTAGTTCAAGGACAGAGAGGTCTGCATCAACAAACTCACGGTAAGTTACTCAAGGACAGAGAGGTCCGCATCAACAAACTTGAGGTAAGTTACTCAATGACAGAGAGGTCCGCATCAACAAACTTGAGGTAAGTTACTCAATGACAGAGAGGTCTGCATCAACAAACTTGAGGTAAGTTTCTCAAGGACAGAGAAGTCTGCATCAACAAACTCGGGGTAAATTACTCAAGGACAGAGAAGTCTGCATCAACAAACTCGGGGTAAGTTACTCAATGAAAGAGAAGTCTGCATCAACAAACTTGAGGTAAGTTTCTCTAGGACAGAGAAGTCTGCATCAACAAACTCGCAGTAAGTAACCCAAGGACAGAGAGGTCTGCATCAACAAACTTGAGGTAAGTTTCTCTAGGACAGAGAAGTCTGCATCAACAAACTCATGGTAAGTTACTCAAGTGAGGTAAGTTACTCAAGGACAGAGAGGTTCGCATCAACAAACTTGAGGTAAGTTACTCAATGACAGAGAGGTCTGCATCAACAAACTTGAGGTTAGTTACTCAAGGACAGCGAAGTCTGCATCAACAAACTTGAGGTAAGTTTCTCTAGGACAGAGAAGTCTGCATCAACAAACTCATGGTAAGTTACTCAAGTGAGGTAAGTTACTCAAGGACAGAGAGGTTCGCATCAACAAACTTGAGGTAAGTTACTCAATGACAGAGAGGTCTGCATCAACAAACTTGAGGTAAGTTACTCAATGACAGAGAGGTCCGCATCAACAAACTTGAGGTAAGTTACTCAATGACAAATAGGTCCGCATCAACAAACTTGAGGTAAGTTACTCAATGACAGAGAGGTCTGCATCAACAAACTTGAGGTTAGTTCAAGGACAGAGAAGTCTGCATCAACAAACTCGCAGTAAGTAACCCAAGGACAGAGAGGTCCGCAACAACAAACTTGAGGTAAGTTACTCAAGGACAGATAGGTCCGCATCAACAAACTTGAGGTTAGTTCAAGGACAGAGAAGTCTGCATCAACAAACTTGAGGTAATTGAGGTAAGTTACCCAAGGACAGAGAGGTCTGCATCAACAAACTCACGGTAAGTTACTCAAGGACAGAGAGGTCCGCATCAAACTTGAGGTAAGTTACTCAAGGACAGAGAAGACTGCAACAACAAACTTGAGGTAAGTTACTCAAGGACAGAGAAGTCTGCAACAACAAAGTTGAGGTAAGTTACTCTAGGACAGAGAGGTCCGCATCAACAAACTTGAGGTAAGTTACTCAATGACAAATAGGTCCGCATCAACAAACTTGAGGTAAGTTACTCAATGACAGAGAGGTCCGCATCAACAAACTTGAGGTAAGTTTCTCAAGGACAGAGAAGTCTGCATCAACAAACTTGAAGTAAGTTACCCAAGGACAGAGAGGTCTGCATCAACAAACTTGAGGTAAGTTTCTCTAGGACAGAGAAGTCTGCATCAACAAACTCGCAGTAAGTAACCCAAGGACAGAGAGGTCCGCAACAACAAACTTGAGGTAAGTTACCCAAGGACAGATAGGTCCGCATCAACAAACTTGAGGTTAGTTCAAGGACAGAGAAGTCTGCATCAACAAACTCATGGTAAGTTACTCAAGGACAGAGAGGTCTGCATCAACAAACTCACGGTAAGTTACTCAAGGACAGAGAGGTCCGCATCAACAAACTTGAGGTAAGTTACTCAATGACAAATAGGTCCGCATCAACAAACTTGAGGTAAGTTTCTCAAGAACAGAGAAGTCTGCATCAACAAACTTGAGGTAAGTTACTCAAGGACAGAGAAGTCTGCATCAACAAACTTGGGGTAGAGAGGTCTGCATCAACAAACTTGAGGTAAGTTACCCAAGGACAGAGAGGTCTGCATCATCAAACTTGAGGTAAGTTACTCAAGGACAGAGAGGTCGGCATCAACAAACTCGAGGTAAGTTACTCAAGGACAGAGAGGTCGGCATCAACAAACTCGAGGTAAGTTACTCAAGGACAGAGAGGTCGGCATCAACAAACTTGAGGTAAGTTACTCAAGGACAGAGAGGCCTGCATCAACAAACTCACGGTAAGTTACTCAAGGACAGAGAGGTCCGCATCAACAAACTTGAGGTTAGTTACTCAAGGACAGAGAAGTCTGCATCAACAAACTCGCAGTAAGTAACCCAAGGACAGAGAGGTCTGCATCAACAAACTTGAGGTACGTTACCCAAGGACAGAGAGGTCTGCATCATCAAACTTGAGGTAAGTTACTCAAGGACAGAGAAGTCTGCATCAACAAACTCGCAGTAAGTAACCCAAGGACAGAGAGGTCTGCATCAACAAACTCACGGTGAGTTACTCAAGGACAGAGAGGTCTGCATCAACAAACTTGAGGTTAGTTCAAGGACAGAGAGGTCTGCATCAACAAACTCACGGTAAGTTACTCAAGGACATAGAGGTCTGCATCAACAAACTCGGGGTAAGTTACTCAATGACAGAGAAGTCTGCATCAACAAACTTGAGGTAAGTTACTCAAGGACAGAGAGGTCCGCATCAACAAACTTGAGGTAAGTTAATCAAGGACAGAGAAGTCTGCATCAACAAACTTGGGGTAAGTTACTCAAGGACAGAGAGGTCCACATCAACGAACTTGAGGTAAGTTACTCAAGAATAGATCTGCATCAAAACACACAAAGGATGTGTAAGGAATCCTGAGGCAGGATGGAGAAAATTCCTCAAGCGGGGGTTGTATGACCATTTTTGTATGTGTTCTCTTGGTAGGCTTGAGGGGGAAGAGGAGGGGGATAGGAGACAGACATAGAGGTAATAGGAGATTCTTATGATCTTGTGGTAAAATGGGAAAGATGTATTCATGTGATGTTATTTGTGATCTCCTGGTAGAATGTGAGAAAGGTTTTGGATAAATATCATCAGTCAGTGATTAAGATCATGACGAATTGACCTATATTTTCAAAAACAAAATAAAATATAAAATACGAAAAAATTATGGAATGTAGAATTATATGAGACTAATATGTTATTGTGTTTTAACACCAATTTTTCCTGTCAGGAACCCTTTGGGTAAGAAGTAAGTTGTAATGCCATTAACCTTAATAGCTTACGTGTATGTCTATTTAACTTGTTGGTTTTTATTTATAGACAAAGATTCAAGAAGAAAAACATAAAGAAGTTTCAGCATCAAGACAAAATGAACTTCTTCATGGCAGGTTACGAGATGTAAGTAAATACAAGTTACCAGATGTAAGTAAATACATGTACAAGAAATGAGATGTAAGTAAATACAAGTTACCAGATGTAAGTAAATACATGTACAAGTAATGAGATGTAAGTAAATATAAGTAATGAGATGTAAGTAAATTTGAGTAATGAGATGTAAGTAGAATGACAAGATGAAAGTAAATATGAGTTAAGAGATGTAAGTAGATATGTGTTACAAGACATAAATAAATATGTATTAAAGATATAATAAGTAAGTACAATTTGCAACATTTAAGCAAAGTTATGAGGCATAACTTAATACAAGTTATGCAGTGTAAAGTAAGTATGAGTTAGTGACGCAAGTAAATACAAGTTACAAGACATAAGTTAATGTTACAAGATGCATGATATTACAAATTAACAAAATTAAGTTTGTAAAAACTTTGGGATGTAAGTTATTTCAAGTTACCAGATGTAAGTTAACATAAGTAACAAGACGTAAACTATCAGAACTTGCCTTTGTGACATAGAATAATACAAGCTACAGGACACCAGTTATTACAAGGTACAGGAAACCAGTTATTACAAGCTACAGGACACCAGTTATTACAAGCTACAGGACACCAGGACACCAGTTATTACAAGCTACAGGACACCAGTTATTTCAAGGTACAGGACACCAGTTATTACTAGGTACAGGACACCAGTTATTACTAGGTACAGGACACCAGTTATTACTAGGTACAGGACACCAGTTATTACTAGGTACAGGACACCAGTTATTACTAGGTACAGGACACCAGTTATTACTAGGTACAGGACACCAGTTATTACTAGGTACAGGACACCAGTTATTACTAGGTACAGGACACCAGTTATTACTAGGTACAGGACACCAGTTATTACTAGGTACAGGACACCAGTTATTACTAGGTACAGGACACCAGTTATTACTAGGTACAGGACACCAGTTATTACTAGGTACAGGACACCAGTTATTACTAGGTACAGGACACCAGTTATTACAAGCTACAGGACACCAGTTATTACAAGCTACAGGACACCAGTTATTACAAGCTACAGGACACCAGTTATTACAAGCTACAGGACACCAGTTATTACAAGCTACAGGACACCAGTTATTACAAGCTACAGGACACCAGTTATTACAAGCTACAGGACACCAGTTATTACAAGCTACAGGACACCAGTTATTACAAGCTACAGGACACCAGTTATTACAAGCTACAGGACACCAGTTATTACAAGCTACAGGACACCAGTTATTACAAGCTACAGGACACCAGTTATTACAAGCTACAGGACACCAGTTATTACAAGCTACAGGACACCAGTTATTACAAGCTACAGGGCACCAGGGCCCGTATTCATGAAACCGTTCTCGTGCTATGGATTTTGTGCTCAAGCCTAATTTCTTGTTCTGGTTATAAGTTAATAAACAAATCTTATTTTGTCAAGGATTTTGAAAAATTGTTAAGGAGACTTAAAGCCAAATACTGTTTTCAATGTTTACATTTGACTTTTTGATTGTTTGACATGATTTAAATGTGTTAAAAGAAAATTGGTTGGAGCATAGACTCCATGCTTGAGCATGAGAACGGTTTCATGAATACGGGCCCATTTATTACAAGCTGATTGACGTAATTTGATATAATTTGCTATCACACTAAATCCTTTTATGAAGTCGGCGATTGTTGTGTCATTTCAGAAGAGGCTATTTTCAAGGTCAATCTAACTAAATTCATGAGAAAATGTATCGGGCTACATTTAGAAGTTTCAATGAGTCAAGTTGAGTACAAATAGAAATGAATGTGTGTTGTAGATGGCTGATTACAAGGTGCTACAGGAAAGTAACGCTGTGATGAAGAGTGAGCTGGAGACTCTGAGAACGTGAGTAACAAGGAAACCTGTCTCTATTTCAGGAGGAGGTTTGGTTAACATTACCTCAATGTATGACAATGCCACACAACTACTTGCTTCCTGATTTTGCAAGTACAAAAAATTGAGAAAATTCGAGTCTTATGGGCAATAATACTGTTCCTTATTTCTTACATTGCAATTAGAATGGACTATTCTTTTTATGAACAAATTAGCTAGTATGTTCTGTAAAATATTTGCTTGGACTTTTATATATTAATTCAAACGGTAGAGGATATTAAAAGTACAGCATCACAATATATAAACATAATCATGTTGTCTGTTAATTTACGTTATTTACAAGTTGACAGATGTTTAATACTGTTTTATTTCCCCCAAATTTAGGAGGCTTGCAGAGTTGTTGCAAATGAATGAACGTGAAAGAGGAAGTGAGTAGAATTTCATTGTATTGTATATCTAGACTTTTGGTCATATTTTATATCATATGAGGTGATACATCATATATATTGTAACTACCTTCATTCCCAGTTAAAGTCGCTGGACTGTGAAAGGTTGGACTACTCAGACAATTTTGTGTGGAATTGAGCCAAACTGTTACTTAAAGTACTTACTGGACAGTTGATTGACAAGCGTTGACTGGATTAGAAATATTTGATACAATGTTGATGATTGTGTTCAGCTGTTAACGTTTGTGAGAGTAAACAGATGTGAAAGAATTTATGTTTTACCAAAAAAACAGTCTGTACATACTAATAACACTTTTCTGTGCAGAAAATCATTATATAAGCTTTAACCTGTATTCAAATGAAGATGACTGAAAAAACAATAAGTTATCTAGCAATGTGTCAATAAGATGTGTTGTGATGTACCAGGACAAGAGGAGATGATGAGAGAGCTGAGACGACCGTCCCCGGAGAGCCTCATGTTACAGCGGGATCTGGAGAAGGCCAAGGAGGCGTTACGCCAGGAAACCACGCTCTCCAGCGCCCAGACATCACAGCTGGAGAAACGTCTACAGGAGGAGGTCAGTTATCTCCCTTGGCAGTTTATTGTCCACAGTGGAGACAACAGATTTAATTGATAAACATTGGTTTTTACAGTAAATATAAATTGTTTTGCTTTTGTTTATTGCAAAAAATAATCTGTAAAGGATGGGTGCCCATAAAACTGTTTTTTGAGCTCCTTGATTTCCGAATCTTCTAACATGAGATGTCTACATATAACAAAAGTATGATCATTTATAGTTTTACTTTGACCCTCTGTGATTTGACAAAGATAAGGAGTAACAGAAACCATTAAAATACTGTTTTTTGTAAAAAAAAAAAAGAAGTAAAAAATACAGAAAACTAACCAGGATATTTTTCATATATTCTTTTATGTTCAAATGAAAGAGATTTATTTTAATGAAAAAATAAGTCTGTACCTTCCCTATAAGGAGTAAACCAGGCTATCTTAAAGATTGAGTGATGGAGAAAATGCAAGCACCCTTTTCTGGTATTCAAATTATTGTGTTGTTGTTGAAGTTGTATCTTAAAACATAAGCTCCTGATTATTCTTGTAGATGGACCGGAACCGTGACCTTCTTCGGAGGTTTGAGGACCAGACGTCTCATTTGAAGGAAATGAACCGTGAAGTGGTTGACCTCAGGTCACAGCTGTCTGTCACTCATCAAGGTGGGCAGAGTCTTCTTTGTGTGGTTAAATAAAATAACATTCTATCAAAAACATTTGTTAACTTAAGACCTATATATATATTTATGCATTATGTAGTTGTATAGTCTGTCAAACTAGTTATCAGAAAATGAAATAAATATATACTGTAGTACCAGCCTGCTCAACTGTTCCGTGTGTAGAAAATGCAATAGTTACTTTGACAGAATATAATTTACGGAAGTTAAAATTTAAACTGTATACCTTGATTTACACAGCCCTCACCAACGAAGTATACAGGAAGCCTGTGCGCCCTGGTGGTGATAGGTAGGTGGTTAAAGGGAGGTCACTCAAAAAATCAAATTCTATTACTGTTTTTTGGGGGCATTTCCAGAAATATTGAATACATCGGAGCAAATGTTGAGTCATAATAGTACTTTCTTACTGAATATCATGTCAAAGACACCAAGTAACAATTGGTTCAGGTCGCAAAAATCAAACATTTCTCAGGTCACAAATTCTCCAGGGGTCAATATAATATGCGATCCTGATTAGAGATTAAATAGTCTGTTAATTGTATTGCTTCAATAAGTTTTGTAAAAAACATTGTCAATTTGATGATTATTTTTGTCTGACACAGCCGTGGCGGATCGCTCCACACTTCCAGACAAGTACCAGACAGTACGGAGGGAGGTAATGAACTTCAGAAAATCTCAACGGAGTTCTCCCCCAGACTTGATATCTCGAGTCCGCGGCGGGCGTTGTCACGACGACCCCGGTTTGAGGACAATGACGTGTATAATGACATTGATGTAGAGTTTGGTTTACTGCCCTCTAATGTCGGAAAGGTGTATACAGATCTATCGGAAGAAGACCTAGATAATGGGTCTCTGGGATCGGCCGACATTGTAGCTGAGGCTAAATATAGACTCCGTAGCCTGGAGAAGGAAGCTCTGGTAAGTCATCCAGTTGTTTATGGACGTGAGACATTCATTAGCCCTTGATTACAGTAAGATTATCCTTATCAACTCTGTAGAGGTTTCCATTATATTGGATTTTAAGGAAACATAAATCAGCTGGTTTTATAAAAGTCTGATTTAATAGGAGTTAGTTTGAAATTCTTTTAATAAGATGATTGACTTATGTAAATTAACACATCACTCTATTACACTAGGTGTTTTACATGTTCAAGATGACTACTTAGAATGACATTGTCAGCTAGATTTCTCATCAAACATTAAAACAGAGATACAGAAGAAATAAATACTTCATGAAATTACTTCACACAAGATTAACAATACTTGTTGAGATAAGTAATACTTTGCCATATTATAATTTTATTACTCCAAGATCATTTGAATAATTATAACAAGAGGATAAGTTACTTACCAGAAGGGTTTAAGAAATGTAAATGGGTTATATATAATTGAGTGAACTATTTTCAGAACCTTGAGAAGGTGTACAGAGATTTCCAGTACCAGATGATAAATCCTGTGGCTGACACGGAACCAAGTCGAACCCCTAGGGGGAGCCAGCAGGCCGACCCTCAGGACAGTAGACCCAGTAGGTGTTGTCTGTGTGTTCAGTCTGTTCTACTGTGGTCAGAATCTGAGCTGAAATATATGTATTGATGTAAAAAAGTGATAACTTCACTTTGATATCAAGCCCTGGGATTATCAAATGATATAGACTTAAGTTCAAGTTTTACCTTATTGTCCAGTGCATAATGAAATCGTGATTTTTATTGCTAGTGCCAGAAAATATTTTTGAATTGTTTTAAAGAGCAATCACTTTTGAAATCGTGATCTCTGTCTGAAACTGTTTCTTGATCCCTTGCCCATAGGAAGAACATCTTCCCCATTAGAGATTGCTACTTTTACATAGAAATAATTTGTTTTGTTCGTTTTTGTGTAAAAATTGTTTTCAAAAATGAACAAGGTCTCATTTGACCTAACATTAGAAATATTAAAATAAGCAAGGGGTAAATGTTTATATCCATATACTTGTCCTACCACCCGATACCCTCCTTACCTACCCTTCACCACCACCCTTGATACAGCCACCCGATACCCTCCTTACCTACCCTTGACCACCACCCTTGATACAAAATGAAGAGGATTCAATGATGAACTTTTGATTTTGGAATGTGATTACTGTTTGATTGACAGGCCAGAAGAAGGTGAAGATAGTTGCATCCCCTGGAGAAAGCCCGATTCACCGCCCTATGTCCTCCACTCCGTATCAGCAGGCTAGCCGTGGAGCCTCACAGCTTGTAGGTAAGTACTCCCATCAATAGAGTACAGAGACAAGTTGAAATATATTGTCTTAAGTTTAAACTTTTGAAAATAGCATAACAAAAGAAAATCTAGTGATAGGCCTTCAATGGCCGTATTACTATGTTTGAGAATTGCTTGCTGTTTTTAGATATGATACATATTGTACTGTGTACTGTTACAGACAGCCTACACGAGCTAACAGGATCCCGTGATAGAGACCACCCTCCCCCGAGGTTTGACATTTCTAATATGTCTGATGATGGTGAACAGTAAGTGGATTTCTGATGCCTGGCTGTTTATTTCTATATCATACTGACAATCAATTATAGTGGTTACAAGTGTTCTTGCCAAGTTTCTCAAATCTAACATTGTCATACTTTCTGCACAGTAAATACATTATCAGTGATCTTGGAAACTGCATCTTTGCAAAGTAAATTCCTTTTTATCATTAGCTGAAATCTTTCAAGGTTCTCTATTATATCACTTGTGTCATCTTCGCTAGCCAAGTGTTCGCTTCGTGCACACTCCACTTACCCTTGGCGATATAGCCGTGTTTACTGAGCCTTCAAATTTCGTGCGATGCTCGCATCCAATGAAATCGCGTCTTACATATAGCGCTGTTGACTCAGGAAAACAGTAATGGCGACGCCCTGTACGGAAGCACGTTGTCGTTTATGTCAGAGTGTTTTTCCCCCAAAAAATAGGCGCACAATCTTTGGGGAAATTCTGGAGATTTAAATCAGTTAGTGGAAATCTACGAGCCTCTTGTAAATGATGAACTGGGAAAATATGTGTGCTGCCTTTGGATTGTTTCCATTTTGCTCTGTCGTTTATATTCCGCCTTGACATACACATGCTTTTGTCAACACGCCAATGGAGTGTGTATGTAACGGTCATTCTGATTAGTTAAAAAAAAAAAGGGGGATTTATTTGACTCCCAATTTTCCCCATGCATGAATTTATGAGTTCAGATAATGCACGATATGAACTACTTTGATGTTATATGATTACTTGATGTTTTGTTTAGCCATCCAGATGAGAGGATAGAGAATCCTCGACCAATCACTGTGTCTGACCTTGAGGCTCGACCAGGGTCACCCAGCATCATGGTAGTTCCAGGATCTGGTGCATCTAGTGAGGACAACACACCGGCTGTCAGGGGTAGGTAACTCTGTAATGTACTGTCGACTCAATAAAATACTTTATTCCTCATTATACTTTGTGAGGACAACACATCAGCTGTCAGGACAAGGTAGCTTTGATGATACATGGTGTTGCATAGAAACTTCTGTTTTAAAATAACTGAATGTGATTTTTTTCAAGGAAAGATAATTCCACAGTGGCAGGGCTGTATTCCTGGGTCCCAATCCTGGTAGCATGAATTTATTCATTTGTTCATGTCTAGCAAATAAATACGATATATGAGTTTGACTGGGAGATGGTAGATTACATTGGGTGATTGTGTTAATTGTCCCCTGTGATGACATGTATATTGACAATACTGATGTTTACACAGAGATGGACCTGAGAAAAACAAGCCCTCTACGACCTATAGGTGGTCTGAAACTAGCCCCCATCAGCCAGGAGTCCCCAGCCACCCCCAGTAGACCCCCGCCCGGGAGCAAGCTTGCCCCTGTGTCACTGGATGATGCCTGGAAGGCCCCTACTTTAGAGGATGCCTGGAAGTCTGAAACAGGTGTGTTAAGTTACCTTTTCTGGTATTTATATATGTACAGTCTTGTAATGATGAAGGATTATAATTTTTTGTATTCTTTTTTAATGTAAACCTGGCCATTACATGTGTTGTAAGTAGGTTTATTACCTGTAGTACGTTAGAATGGATCTATAGACCAGGTGTAACATTCACCGTCTCTTTATTTGTATCTATTAGATCAGTTTCATTTGATGATCTCGTCTTAATGTCATTTTATTTGTCAATCCTCGTAGCTAAGAAAGAAGTAGAAAGTGGGGACGAGGACAAATGGGAAGAGGAGAGAAAGAAAAAGGAGGCGGAGAGAAAAAAGAAAGAAGAAGCAGCAAGGGAACGAGAGCAGAGAGAATTGGAAAGACTTCAGGGAAAGGTAGGTTCAGGCATTACACTTTAACAAGAATGTTGTAAGGCCAGCAGTAAAATGTTTATATTCAGTTAAAAACATTGCCTATAGAAAGTTGATGTGCTCAATATCTGATGCAAGACCATCACCAAACATTGCATAAAGTAGTCATTTATGATGTTTTATAATAGGATATGAACTTTAGAACCAACATGAAAATATAAACAGAGGAGTTGAATATAATGATAACTGGGTAATATACAATTAGTGTTGTATGGCACACTTAGTTAATTACACAACTACTAATGATATCTATCTGTAGAGAGGGTCAGACGACTTTGAAGATGACCCTACTTCTGACCCAGGCCAAAAGGAAGAAAAGAAGGGTGATGATGACGACGGGATTGACCCCACCATGAAGCAGTACATGGCTATGGTGGCTCAGCAGAAAGAAAAAGAGAAGGAGGTGAGGCAGGGTTTGGGTTGTTTGTTGATAACCCTAGAGTAAGTGGGTATTGTTAAAGAGATGAAACAGGTTTAGGGATAGATGTTAATAACCTTAGAATAAGTGGGTATTGTAATAGAGGTGATGCAGGGTTAAGGTTGTTCGTTTATAACCCTAGAACAAGTCGGTATTATAATGAGGTGAGACAGGGTTAGGGTTGTTTGTTGATAACCCTAGAGTCAGTGGGTATTATAATGAGGTGAGACAGGGTTAGGGTTGTTTGTTGATAACCCTAGAGTCAGTGGGTATTATAATGAGGTGAGACAGGGTTAGAGTTGTTTGTTGATATCTCTAGAGTAAGTGGGTATTATAATGAGGTGAGACAGGGTTAGGGTTGTTTGTTGATAACCCTAGAGTCAGTGGGTATTATAATGAGGTGAGTCAGGGTTAGAGTTGTTTGTTGATATCTCTAGAGTAAGTGGGTATTATAATCAGGTGAGACAGGGTTAGGGTTGTGTATTGATAACCCTAGAGTAAGTGGGTATTATAATAGAGGTGAGACAGGGTTAGGGTTGTTTATTGATAACCCTAGAGTAAGTGGGTATTATAATAGAGGTGAGACAGGGTTACATTCGGAACACCTCGCCCCGATTCCAGTTCCTTTCAACGTTAGATGACCGTATCGGCCAAGAAGTTCCGAGTGACAGGGTTAGGGTTGTTTATTGATAACCCTAGAGTCAGTGGGTATTATAATAGGGGTGAGACAGGGTTAGGGATAGGGTTGAGGCAGGATTTTTTCGGGTTGTTGGTCAGAATGTTTTCCAATATGAGTGTTGTGATAGAATTAAGACAGAGTTTGTTTGAGTTATTGGTTTATATTACTTGTCTAAGTGGACGTTTTGTTTGATAAAACAAGACTATGATATCAGAGTTGACGTTTTGTTATGTCGTCTCTGAAGACATTGTTGGCAGTCTAGTCTGATTTCCTAAGAATGTCCTTAAACAGAGATCTCCGCTAGTGGAGTCTGAATATTGACTTGATGTTGTGATGAGAGTCTATTTGTGACCTGTTTTTGTATTGTACAGCCGAGACAGGTAACAACACTAAGCTATTCTCCAGCCTATAGGCCTGTTGTGTATTCACTACACCCTATAGACCTGTTGTGCTTCATGTATTCACTACACTCATCATCATCGGTGCATCTTAGACACTTTTTATTTTCAGGCATGTTTAATCATGAGAGGTCACCAAGTCATTTACATATTAGATCAAAAGGCACTGGATTTTGGGCTCTTTATAATATTACAGTTCAATTGATTTCATTATCAAGCGTGAATGTCACCAGCTAGTTTGAGTTTGACTTTTGTATCAGGTCCACTACTTATATTTACTTTGTCAGTTGACTCAGACTCAATTAAGTCAATCTGTCTTGTTTGCTTCAACAACATATGAAGTTTTTCTGCTCCTGATTATGATATGTTATCTTTTTGGCATCATACTTATAATGTTGGAGACAACAAGCTAGGGGCCTGAGTATGGCTGTTTCTTTTATTTATAATTTATAAAGTTATTTACAAACATCAATTTGTACAAAAAAGAAATTAAAGCCATATAAATGAATTCAGAATATGAGTTCGAAGTTTGTGACTCTAGGATCAGGTGCTCTGAGTCTGTGACTCTGGGATCAGGTGCTCTGAGTTGGTGACTCTGGGATCAGGTGCTCTGAGTCTGACTTGGGGATCAGGTGCTCTGAGTTGGTGACTCTGGGATCAGGTGCTCTGAGTTGGTGACTCTGGGATCAGGTACTCTGAGTCATGACTCTGGGTTCAGGTGCTCGGAGTCGGTGACTCTGGGATCGGGTGCTCGGAGTCGGTGACTCTGGGATCAGGTGCTCTTAGTCGGTGACTCTGGGTTCAGGTGCTCTGAGTCGGTGACTCTGGGATCGGGTGCACGGTTAAGTTGGTTAGTTTGGTTTCTACTGCAGGAGGTGTGATATATGTAATGTCACACTTATAATACTAACAATACATACATTCACATCTGAAGATTATCGGAACATTTCTAGGGAAATTTTGATCTTTACTATGATCTTCAGAACTGGACTATAGGGAATATGATGGTTGTAACTGAATACAAAGATTACATTTGAAGATTATCGGAATTTTCTGTAGGGAGTATTCTTGTTCTAAATTAAGATTCTCAGAACCTAATTGTGACAGGTAAACTTTTTCACTGCCTGTTCATAGAGGATAACGCTGTCACAGATGTAGAGGTTTTTTTAGATTGACGGGCCAAACTGACATTTATCAGTCACTTACACTGTAGTACAGCCAGTTGTTGTCTGTATATAGGTCTCACAGAGTGTTTGCATGTTTGTATCAAGTAATGACTCGTAATATTCTTAATGGTCATTCAGTAATGGCTTTGATCTACCATTGATAGAAATCTTTACTTAATATGTCTTAACTTGTTAAGATGAAATAGAAAGTACTTCTTACGTGCTAATGTTTCATATTTTGCATGGGAGAGAAAGTGTGTGACAAAATCTACCGTAAATATGTCAAAAAAACCTTACACTGGAAGCTGATTACACGATAACATTGTAACTGTCGTAGTTAAACCTTACACTGATAGCTGATTACACGGTAACATTGTAACTGTCGCAGTTACACCTTACACTAATTGCTGGTTACACGGTAACATTGGAACTGTCTTAGGTACACCTTACACTGAAAGCTGATTACACGGTAACTTTGTAACTGTCTTAGTTACACCTTACAGTAATTGCTGATTACACGGTTACATTGTAACTGTCGCAGTTACACCTTACACTGATTGCTGATTACACGGTTACATTGTAACTGTCGTGGTTACACCTTACACTGATTGCTGATTACACGGTTACATTGTAACTGTCGCAGTTACACCTTACACGGATAGCTGATTACACGGGAACATTATAACTGTCGTAGTTAATCCTTACACTGATACCTGATTACACGGTAAAATTGTAACTGTCGTAGTAACACCTTACACTGATAGCTTATTACACGGTAACATTATAACTGTCGTAGTTACACCGTACACTAATTGCTGATTACACGGTTACATTGTAACTGTCGTAGTAACACCTTACACTGATTGCTGATTACACGGTTACATTGTAACTGTCGCAGTTACACCTTACACTAATAGCTGATTACACGGGAACATTATAACTGTCGTAGTTACTCCTTACACTGATAGCTTATTACACGGTAACATTGGAACTGTCGTAGTTACACCGTACACTAATTGCTGATTACACGGTTACATTGTAACTGTCGTGGTTACACCTTACACTAATAGCTGATTACACGGAAACATTGTAACTGTCTTAGTTACACCTTACAGTAATTGCTGATTACACGGTTACATTGTAACTGTCGCAGTTACACCTTACACTAATTGGTGATTACACGGTAACATTGGAACTGTCGTAGTTACCCCTTACACTGATAGCCGATTACACGGTAACAATGTAACTGTCGGAGTTACACCTTACTCTGATAGCTAATTACACGGTACCTTTGTAACTGTCGTAGTTACACCTTACACTGATAGCTAATTACACGGTAACATTGTAACTGTCGTAGTTAAACCTCACACTGATAGCTGATTACACAGTAACATTGTAACTGTCGTAGTTACACCTTACACTGATAGCTGATTACACGGTAACATTGTAACTGTCGTAGTTACAAACGTTATGATGAACAGAATTTAAACTTAAACAAAATACCCTGGTAGAGGGTATTTAATTACCAACTTAAGATATTAAAACTAAAGATGATAATTCTGGAGTCTCCGTCTAAGACAGGAAGACGTGACATATTGTATGGTATATGGAGCCATTACAAGGCTATTACAAATGTTAAATGAAACTGAAATATTGTATGTACTTGTACATGTAGTAACTAAAATGCATTTGTCTGTAGACCTCTGTAATATGATCTATGTCGATGAGAAATTAGTAATTAAGAGCCAGATTAAGGTATACCGGTACACCTAGTGATCACCAGAAATGCTAGCACCGCTGTATAAAAGTGTAATATGACTCAAGACAAAAAAAACAATTATTTATCATGCTTTAGAAATGTCTGAATTGTTATATCTTGTAAAAGGTATTCAGCATGCTGTTTGGTTTTGGAATGTTTTGGGAGAACACACAAATGTGTACCTGCAGTAGTTTTATATGATTTTCTTTGAACAATGCTTGTGATGTGGTTTCAGCTGGCCAAAAACACGGTGGACACCTGGTCCAAGGGGAGACAACTTTCACATGCAGTAAGTTCCACCTTTGGGTAATATTAGCTACACAGATTGTAGGTAGTAAACATTATATGATATATTATTTCTAAGTCTATCTCCTTCAACATATTTATTTGCAAATAATTAACCCAGTACTATTAATGTTAAAATGTCATGTATTATGTATTTTTTTTTAATTATATATGTGAATCCCACATTAAATCTTTTTATTTGATATTTCAGGACACACCGACCCAGTCGGAGCAGGACCTATCTGCAGCTGATGCTCACAGGTAAGACTTGTGTTTTCTGGGTTTTATAGGTAAGACTTATGTTTTCTGGGTTTTACAGGTAAGACATGAGTTGTGATCTACCTATTACAAATATGGATTACTTAAAAAATGATTGGTAAAATATTTCACATAGTTTTTTTATTTGGAGATGTAGACTTTTGTAGTTTAAATATTTATTTGTTCTTTTCAACCTTACGAAATAGAAAACTTACACTTCCAGATGTTTTAAACTGAAGTTCTGCTAGCTCTAAAGTCCAAAACTTGATTGGGTCCAAAATATGTGTAAAGGAAGCTGTCTAGATAAAAGTTTCCTTAAAAAGAGTATTTATAAGATATTGGAAACCAAATTCTGTGAAATCAGATATTTTCCTGGCGCCGAAATTTCGTGGTTCCCCAAAAAAACACCATTTTGTAGGTACATGAATTAGTGGATTATGAGTACCCACTCATACAGAGAATTACTTTTTATTAAACTTATAATTACTCCATGGACCTATGAATTTGTGGTTGAAGATAACCTACGAAATCAACAAGATAAAAAAAAACCACGAAAAGTTTTCATTGTATTAAAGAATGATTTTAATCTGATTCCCATTTTTATATTTTGTTGGAATTAAATCTTGAACTATCCTTACATGAAAACTGATGTCATTTTGTTTTCATACAGAAGGGGTAGGGTATTTAATAAACCTGTATCTTTGTTACGCCTCTAGATAAAAATATCATTGAAGATATGGCCTTTGATCTAAAATGAACACCTTGTCTGACCAGCTTTTACTTTTTTTTGCAGTAATGATGGCTCGGAGGCTGATTTTCAGTGGTAGCTACTGTATCAAGCAGACTGACTGACCATGTCACAGTTTAGCACTCCATCATGTCAGCTTGGCATTGTTGATACAGAACCATTCCTTGAAAATATTGTAACTACATGTGTCCTAGTATAACTCAAAAACCCAATTGGACAACGTTAGGAGATGCATTGATTTATCCCAAAAACTTTTTTTTAGGTGCTTTTGCAGGTGAACCTTGTGTTAATTAAGCCAAATGTAACAATTCTGTGGCTATTATTTTTTCAAATTTATTTCAATAGATATGAGTGTGGGGTCTGAGGGGTAAAGACATATGTGAGGATGGGTGTGAATGTGTTTGTGTCAGGTCTGAGGATTCAAAGACATGTATTTGTGTTTGGGTGAATGTTTGTGAGGGAGGGTGTTCTAGAGAGTGTGTAGTCTGAGGCAGGGTATGTTATAGAGAGTGTGTGGTCTGAGGAAGGGTGTGTGTTAAAGAGTGTGTGGTCTTAGGAAGGGTGTGTGCTAGAGTGTGTGTGGTCTGAGGAAGGGTGTGTGTGGTCTGAGGAAGGGTGTGTGTGGTCTGAGGAAGCGTGTGTGCTAGAGAATGTGTGATCTGAGGAAGGGTGTGTGTTAAAGAGTGTGTGGTCTGAAGAAGGGTATGTTCTAGAGAGGGTGTGGTCTGAGGAAGGGTGTGTGCTAGAGTGTGTGTGGTCTGAGGAAGGGTGTGTGTGGTCTGAGGAAGGGTGTGTGTAGTCTGAGGAAGAGTGTGTGTGGTCTGAGGAAGGGTGTGTGCTAGAGTGTGTGGTCTGAGGAAGGGTGTGTGCTAGAGAGAGTGTGTGGTCTGAGGAAGGGTGTGCATGGTCTGAGGAAGGGTGTGTGTGGTCTGAGGAAGGGGGTGTGCTAGAGAGAGTGTGTGGGCGAGTAAACATGACAGCTGAGATAACTTTGTGATCATTACAGTATTTAAACAGGACCAAGAGAGCATTAGCTAGATGTGGAGATTTTGTTATAATTATGTGTTTAGTAAACATGAAAATTATGAATTATGCTAATTTCAAACTTGATTTTGTTTATTAATTGATAAAGTTTGTTTTTGCTGTTTGCTGAGTACCATAACTAAGTAATGTGTTGTGTCTGTCTGAGAAAGGTTAGATCTGATATAGAGGAGTGGTCGCAGAGACAAGGTATAGGATTTTTTTTATTATTTTTGTGAATTAGTATAAAGATAATTAGAACATCCCTATTTCAGCAAGTTATCTAATATGTATCTTACAATTTCAATATTTAAATTGTAAAAAAATGTTTATAATATTTATTTCATAAAATAAAATCTGATAATCTGTTTCAATTTTGTCTGGTCTTTTTAACCCACCATCATCACATGGTGGGCTATACTAATCGCCCAGCATCTAGGGTACGTTGTCCATCTGTCGTCCATCAATAAACAGTTTTTGTTATCGCTATTTCTCACAAGGTACTTAAGGGACTTTTCTAAAATGTCCGATGTATGTTCCTTTAGGTTCCTAGTTGTGCATGTTTACTTTTGAGACTGATCTGGTAAACAAAATGGCTGACAGGTAGCCATCTTGGATTTTGACAGTTAAGATTTGTTATCGGTATTTCTCAGAAAGTGTAAAAGGGAGCTTTCTCAAATTTTCTAAGTAGTTACCCCTATGTCTTTAGTTCTGCAAGTTTTATTTTGAGACTGATCAGTTAGAGGAGGCACGGTAGTCTAGTGGTAGGACGCCAGGCTTGTGACCGAAGGGTTGCGTGTTCGAGTCACGACACGGCACGGCACTGTGTTGTTTCTTTGGGCAAGATATTTAAGTCCGCTTGTTCCAGTCTACTTAGCTGTAAATGAGTACGTGGTTGGGTAGTAATAGAATTGTAGAATGCTAGCTGTAAGCGCGGAAATGGCAGTAACCGCTGTATGCTCCCCAGGGAGTTGAGAAAGATATTGGCTGGTTGCGAAGGCCCTATAATTAACCAAGGATAATAATTTGTGAACCAAATTGAGATAACCTACGAACTAGGTTGTGATAAAGGGGTATATAAGAACTTCACATTATTATTAAAGAAAATGGTCGACAGGCGGCCATCTTGGATATTGACAGTTTAGGTATGTCAAAAAGTGCTGGAAGAATCTCTCTCACATCTTATAAGTTCACTTTGGTCCCTGTTAGGCATGTTTACTTTTGACACTGATCGGAAAATTAAAAATGGCCGACAGGCGGCCATCTTGAATTTTGACAGGAAGTAGATTTCTCAAATTTCCTTTGTAGGTTTCCTAAGCGATCTATAGATGTGCAAGTTTTCTTTTTAGACTGATCAGATCTCTCAAGCACTTTTTCTAAGAAAGTGCTTGAAGGATCTGATAAATTTAATTTGTAGGTCTCCCTCGGTCTCCAGTTGTGCATGTTCACTTTTGAGACTGATTGGAAAAATCAAAGTGGCCGAAAGATTGCCATCTTGGATTTTGGCAGTTAAGTTTTGTTATATCCATTAAGCTTCTCGGAACGTACAGGAGGGATCTTTGATACATTTTATATGTATGTTCCCCTTGGTCCCCTAATACGACCCTTATGATAATTCATCTCTTATTGACAGCACTAGCATTTTGCATATTGTTATGCAATTCTTATACGTTGCAAATAACCTAAGACATTACGAGGTTTGAGGTAATGTACAAGAATCCCGTATATGATTTCCAACATGTGACTGGGTAATTAGGAAAATAAAGAGCAAAGAAGGTAAAATATCATCTTCTGTGGAATTGATCAAGATCCTTTCATGGTGGGCCCCAAGATCCTTCTAGTCTGTTATTTGACAATAACTGGTTTTAAGTTGTAGGACATGTTACTAGTTCACATGACTGGCAGTTCACAATAAAAGTAAAGGAAGGGTTTAAGTCCTGTCCGCCGCGACTGTCGGTACCACTGAATAAGGAAAACATGTGTATGAACGAAACCACGACACCACACAGGCAGGACTAGAACAGTTGCACATCATGGCACATCTTTATAAACCCATTATTTTTCTCTTGTTAGAAGGTAAATTTTCATATTGAATTAACTTACATTGGCAGGCTGCTCATTAACCCATAATTTCAAATTACGGCAACGCAATGTCTGAAGAGATGGAGTTCAATGTTAATTTACATTGACAGGCATTGCATTTACCCGACAATTAACTAAAATCCCATTTGTGGTAGTTTGAGTATATGTTTAATTTACATTGACAAAAACACTAAAAATCGATCGGATCTACGTAATGTTCCAGTGTAAGGTCTCAGAAGTTGTGCGGGTTATCTCTCTTTGAACCTTAAGTTGCGATTATATAAAAAAAAATCAAATAAAACAGATGGAGAGAGAGAATAAAACCAAAACATTGAAGGCAATTAACATTTATTGTACGTTGTAATCATCATCAATATCGTGAGTTTAGTTTAAGAACAATTTCACTGGATTCGACTCTAACGATGATAAAAGAGTTGAGCAACATAGTTAAAACGTACACGTGTATGTATGTATATCATTGATAAATAAATACAGAATAGACAATCATTGTTTTAAAAATGACTGACAGATTTTCTCCTTCCTGCAGATTTCTAGGTAACGGTCAACGTTTAGGATGGTAACGAGTGTGATGACGCGGTAAATAAATGTAGAATAGGCAAACTTTATTTTGAAAAGGGCTTGACACCATTGTTGATGACATTGGTAAGGTGAGTTTGAATCTGCTTGGACTGTTAAATGGCATTTTTAATTACCTTCCCGATGGTTTACACCAATAGACAATGTATGATATCATTTTCTTGCAAATTACTTTTTTACTCATTATTTGTCGTAAAGTTTTGATTTTGATTTCTTCCTTTTTCGTTTAAGTGATGGGAGTAAGCATGATGAAATTCGGGTTCCATCAACTATTTACGTTTGAAAATATTTTTAGGGATCCACTTTTCTTCGCATATACATTTTGAATGGATGATTGACTGGATATACCGACTTTTCGGATCTTCTTTTCCCTTACTCCCTTATCTTTTTACTTAACATCAAAGTACTGAAAGTCCGGAATGACCGCTGTCACACGATCATAAAAAGAGTATTGAACATTAGCTTTCACTATAACTTGGATCACAATTTAGTATAGAATATTGTGGGTGAAGGAGAATTATAATTTGTATAAATTAAGAATAAGAATGTGACCCCTGCACGGTCACGTCAGCGAGACCTTAAAAAGGACTGTTTCAGTGCTTTAGTCATGAAAAATGCACCAATTGGTTTCTAAATAGTATGAATTTCAGAAAGGTTCATGCAGCACAACCAGTCACGGGTTTATGTGTGACGTTTTGATGGCTGGCACGGTATGTAGACTAACACCTTCATCAGACAAATGACCAGTGAAGCGATGTACACAAATGAGCAAAATATGTTCGAGTTAGCAATGAAAATCGGCGTTGATTTGACTACACTATAACCGTGTGTACACTTCATGTAAGAACGGATTATTAAAACCGACAAATCGATTAGACTACACTTTGTTCAGTACTTGGTCATAAATATACGAGATTCTTTGAGCCCTCTCATCTCGATTCAGACCTGGCCCTCTGCGGCGTATCCAGATGGCTTCCTGTCTCTGCCGTTCGAACAGATTGCTCTCTCTGTACAATACTCTGGAGTTCTTCCATTTTATAACATGATTTTACTGTAGGTATGGTCTGTGCATGGGTCAAAATGCACCTACTGGTTGTCATTTAACATATCTCTACAGTATTATATTTTCATCGATGGATATCGATGTATCCTGGGGATCAGAGGGGCGGGGTTCAAATGATTGCAATTTGCATATTTTATCTACAACATGCCGCGTCTCTTCAGTGGTCTGGCAGATTTTAACCAAGTCTGGTTTAAAAATACGTATGGGACAACAAAAGCACCACATACGGATATCTGTAACGCTCGTCCATGCAGAAATATCACCGTAGTTAACTGATGTATTTATGTTCATTTAAGTATCAATTAATAATATTTGATTTATATTTTGACTACACTGTACATTTTTGTAGCTCTTCAATTTGGAGGAAATAAAGAAATAATAATAATGTTAAGTTTCATGGATAACAAATAAAGAAATATGTAGCTGTGCATTCCAAAATTGAACTACGACGGCGAGGATTCTGACAGAGTTAATGATATTTCTGCATTAATGTGTCATGCAATTGTCCGAACATATTGGCAAATTTAACAAACCTACGTTGCTCAACCACACTCAAAATTGTCATCATATGATATCTTATCTTGATTGGACAATGATATCAAAATATGCAATATCGGAATATTTACAATGGCGATAGATTAAGTTATTCCTTTCAAATTCGTTTCCCTCTACTTTGTAGTTCTTTCTTTTCACTGGGGCGTTTAACAATTGAACATATTCCACTTCATAAAATCAATGGAACCAGTTGAAATCAAACTAGGTACGGTATTTTAAAGGATTTCGTCATAACATTTTGTTGTTTTTCAAGACTATCTGAAATAAAAAAAAAAAGGTCGCCCTACGTCAAAATCAATTTACACTACAACATAAAAAATGTATCGTGGTCCGATTTTCATGTTCTATGTTACACCTCCTTTTTGTTTCGTTCAATTCACAAACCCAACTTCACTATTCATACTCTGTTCATACCCAAAAATGCCAGTGTATTTATCAGAATCATATTTCGGAGACAGCTTGTCTAGTGAACGGCTAAAATTCTCTGAACCCGTTGGCGAAAAGGTGTGTTTTCAATACGAAAATAGAAAAGCGTTCTTTGATCCATATCAGGGACCGCAAGACAACATATTAATACTATATTTAAAAGAATACCAAGAACAATCAATTAAAAAAACAATTTGGTGTGTCCTTCGAACAGCTGCGCCCTGACATACAGCTTAAGACGACATACCCTTTTTGTATCGTTGCGTTACGGCTGAAGTCAAGTTAAAGCCGGGGAACGGATTTTAATTTGAAATGTCAAAGCTTCAAACACTCCACACTTTTTTTTACAGAGTTACGGAAATACTGTTCACCAATTCGGTGCCTTGTGTCGTTTCGATGATAACACAAATTGCTTTGTCAACACGAGCCTGTGAGTAGGTGTGACTGCGGAGCCCTCGTCTCTCAGCAATTATTACCCAGAAATGACGAGCAGCGTTTTTCTCAATTAAGTAAACTTCTTTCCTTCAAATGTGGCTGTTGACGCATTACTACGGCGGAGGTGCAAAGGAAAGACCGAGTCACTTCTGATTTCAATATCCGTGGTATGCCGCTACATAAAATAGGACACTGTCGTGTCTACCGATG